GATCCGCGACTGAAGGCTTGATTACTTTTAGCCTTGAAAGGGCTGTGCCTTTAGTGCGGCAGATGCTTGGAAAGGGTTAAATTGAGCTTGTCACATTTTCGGGGTGGGGGGGAGCTGTTGTGGTTTCCCTGCCTCCTGGTCTGTGGCGGCAGCCAAAGGGTTAACTCCAGTCTGTCACTTTCTCTGTAAGGGTGGGATTTTGGCGTGGATTGTTCTTTTTGGGAAAGCAAAAGAATGAAGAGCTACTCTTAAGTTGCCACTTGGGACCCATTGTAAAAGCAGACCAGTGTGGGCGCCCTCTTGAATACGGTGGGCCGCTGGATCCGTCTAAATGTATTCATTTTCACTTGTCCGAGGGTCTAAGACGAGGCTGACTGCTAAGCTCAGGGGTAGAAGTTGGGAGACTAGTCCGCAGTAGTTCCTAGTTTTATTAAATCGAGGAGTAAGAAAGTCTTTGGTTTTCCAGAGCTCAATGTTTTAGGTTAGTTGTTAAGGTGGATCTGCAGTAAGGATAAAGTTTTATATTGCAAAAGAGTGGTTAGGCGTTTCTCAATTGAAGAGGAGGGAAGGGACCAGAGAGGAACATCTCTTACCGCAGGCTCAGGGAATGGGTATATGGGAGGAAAATTGCTGTGAGAACTTGTAAAATGTGTTTATTCCAGCATTGATTGAGTAGAAAGATGGCTATTCAGTTTTGCCTCTTTTGTTGGAGAAGAAATAGTGAAAGATTTCTCTTCAGTCCTGACTTAGACACCAAAAGTTTCTCTGATTGTTGAAGAGTTTGTACTTGCCAGGACTAAGTTTTAGAACTGTTTTGAAGAGAGATGGCAGCACTTCTTCCACCTTTTAGATGACTGTTGAAATCCCTCTTTAAAAGGCAACGAGCCGTCAGACTGGTTTGGTTACACGAATGATTCAAACACGGATGCCTTCTTGGAGAAAATTGATAGCTTGTGACTCTTAGTCCATGTTGTAGTAGAGTAACAGGGGTGAGTAAGACTTGGAGAAAAAAATAGATCAGAAGTCCAAACATTTTTTGAAAAATGTTGCATATAAGTACATTATTAAGAAAAGTGCCTTCTTGTGTGGCTCCTTTTCTAATATCTTTTTTCTTGGAATGACTGTCTTTTGAACAGGTGTAGCTAAGAGTGCCACTAAAACTAATAAGGAAAAACAAACTTTAGGGAATGTACTCATTAGAGCTGTTGTATGATATGGAGACTGGGCGTGGTTATGTGTGCCTGTAATCCCAGCACTTGGGAAGTTGAGGCCGGCAGATCACTGAGAGTTAGAGGCCAGCCTGGGCTACGTAGTGAGTTCAAGGCCAACCTGAACTACATAGCCCCTTTCTCAAACAAAACCAAATCAAAACAGAAAACCAAGAATATTTATATGATATGGAAAAGGTGAAGCTTTATGTAGCCTGCGTGGAATCAATTTTCTGATACTTCTTTTGAGATAAGAATTGGAGTCACCTTATAAATCCTATCCCTTTGGCAAGATTGATTTAATTTACAATTTACAATGTTGATTTAATTTACAGTAGGTAAGTGTGTTACTGCAATTAGTTGTATCTGTTGCAGAGAAGTATTGTGCATGAACCTAAGAGCGTTGAATAAATCTTTCAAAAACTTCTTGATCTTTTATGCTTATGTCTTTCATAGGTAGTATAGCTTACTGTGATAAGCATGGACTTTGATGTCAAGCTCCTGAGGACTTGAAATCTGCATCAGCCACTTAGCAGCCTTGCATCCTCTTTGAGCCCTTGCTCTCTCGTCTGTTAAATGCAGAGAGTAGTGTTTCTTACAGAGTTACTCTGAGGAGTAAATGGATGAAAATTGTTAAATGCCTAGCACCAGGCCTGCCCAGAGGGATAGGTTAGTAGTAACCATTGTTTTTTATAGGGCTCTACCCATTTAATGCAGAAACAGTGGAAAATATTGAGAAGGGTCTCAGAATATTTCCACATGTAGACTACGGTGGTGGGTTTATGGTTTGTGTAAAGTATTCACATGATGTTCTCTGACTTTTGCATTACATTATTTTACTTAATACCATCAGGAAAACTTCAGCAAAGTTGTTCAATTCACAGTAACCTTATGTCTCCACTATTAATATTAGACTGTTCTGTTTGAATTATAATGGTATGGATAGGTTCTGATTTTTTTATTTCAGTGGGTTTCTTTTGGTATGCTAGTGGTTGAATCCAGAGCCTTTAAACTAAACTACATCCCCAGCCCTTTTCTTATTTTTCATTTTGAGACTATCTCACCAAGTCACTAAATTGCCCAGACTGGGTTAGACTTTGAGACCATTCTGCCTTAGCTTTCCAGAGTGGTGAGATTTCAGGCATAGACCACCACGCCCTGGCGATAGGTTCTGTTAAGAGAAAGAAATCGGTCACCACAAAAAATAAATGAGGATATTATCCCAGATTGAATGTATCAAAACATAACACTCATATATGTAAATATAATGATTTAAATAAGGAAAAAGCCATATTGTACTTGGTGGTGTCCTTTAAAATATTGAAGGAGATACCTTGATAAATTCCAACACCCCACCACCACCACTTTGAGACAGGGTTTCACTATGTAGTTCAGGCTAGCCTTGAACTCACTGTGTAGCCCAGGTGGCGAGATCCTCTTGGCTCAGTCTCCCAAGTGCTCAGATTATAAGTGTGTGCCACCTCACCTGGCCATCCTTTTTTTGTTGTTGTTGTTACCGGGAATCAAACATGGGACCTTGTGCTTTCAAGGCAGGTGGCCAGCACCACTGAACTAAATCCCTGGCCCTGGCCATCCCTTTTTTTAAACCTCAGACTAAACTAATTTATGAGTCATACAGAATATATTGAAGATGAAGAAAAGGACGGTCAAATGGTTATAGATTTTTAGATAGGAACAATGTATCTAAAGTAGTAAAATTGGCATTAATCTTTAAAAAATACACAATTTTTTGTATTTTATAAGAAATGTTTAGTTTGCATAATCACAAATACAAATGTGTTGAGTAGTGTGTGTCATGTAGAAAACTGGTCATTTATTCAGATTCACCAGGTAAGTTCCCAGATATGAAGAGACAATTTTGTAAAATTTTGTAAAATGTTAACTTTTTGTAAATAAATCTAATGTAATTGAATAATTAAATACATTCATTAAATTTATTTTAAAAATTATTATTATTATTATTAGGTTTTTTGTTTGTTTGTTTTTTGTTTTTTGTTTTGTTTTGTTTTGTTTTTTTGAGACAGGTTCTCACTATGTAGTTGAGACTGACCTGGAACTCACAATGTAGCCCAGGCTGGTTTAAAACTCACAGCGATCCTCCTGCCTCAGCCTCCCAAGTGCTGGGATTATAGGTGTGCACCACCACGCCCAGTTTAAATTTAAATGGGACTATTATTTACCTTAACATGCTTCCACTGGTTTGACCCATTGGTGATATATGCATGACTGTCTCTCTCTTCAGGCAGTTTATACCACAGGCAATGCAAACAGATTTAATCACTTTTGTTAGTCTGTTTACTAATGAAATTAATAAAAAGCTACCTGCTGGGACATTCATGCGTGTATCATGGCTGGATCAGGCTGCCCAGCAGTGGGACGTACACATCATAGCCTGGTTGTGAATGTGCTAAGGTTTAGTAAATGTCATTTATCTTGCTTAAAAGGTTGGTGTGAAGCTGAAGTACTTACATGTAGGGTTTGATGCTGTTCTTCAAGATTAGGCTATTTAGGTACAGAGATATTCAGTATTAAATGGTTTACTGAAATGATATTTCATTTCATCTATTATTTTATGAGGAGCCATTTGATATACATAGTATTTCATTTTTGATGTTGCAGAAACACCCCCTTTAAAACATCCGGATCAAGTCATGTGGTGAACTCCTGTCATCCCAGCACTCTGGGTGACTGAGGCAAGAGGATTTAATCTTCAAACACAGGCTGGGTATCATAGCACCTTAGTAAGACCTTGTCTCAAAATAGAAAAATATAAGGATGGGAGATGCAGTTCAGTCCAAAGAACTTTACTTCAATCCCCTCTATCTACTTCCCCCAAACCCCTAGATCTTAATTTTCTGATTAGTGTGAGAATGAAATAATGTCTTTTGGTGAATATTGTGACAGTTATTGCATAATAAGTCATATGGCCTGTATGTGTAATTTATGTTGCATAATATTTGTCTGGGATGCTTAGATAAGTTAAGCTGTATAGTTGACTAAGAAATATTTAATATAATTTGTGAAAATATTATAGGCAAACACGGTTGTGGTGCTTGTTTTTCTTTTTTTTGAAGACAAATTCTCACTGTGTAGGCCAAAATAATATTTTGAGCCAAAGTGTGTTGGCATGGGAATATTTTATGGTTGAACTCTTTTGTGTAGCCCAAGCTAGTGGTGAACTCATAATCCTCTTCTTCAGCCTCCCAAGTGCTGGAATTACAGGCATGTGCCACAGCAGCTGACCACATTATACATTTTTTAAAGTGGTTAGTGTTATAAATTTGTCTGAGCTGAGCGTGGTGGCACACGACTGTAATCCCAGCACTGGGGAGGCTGAGGCAGGACGGTCATTGCCAGTTTGAGGCCAGTGTGGGCTACATAGTGAGTTCAGGGCCAGCCTGAATTACAAAATGAGACCCTGCCTCAAAAACAGACAAACAAACAGACAGTTTGTCTATACTTTTCAGATTGTTTCTAACCAGAATGGTTAGTCCATGGAAACATTTATTACAACTGAGATTTAAAAGATATTTTGGAAGACTGTAGAAA